GGTTTAGTCCTGGTTTCAGTCCTTGTTTACTCCTGGTTTAGTCCTGGTTTACTCCTGGTTTAGTCCTGGTTTAGACCTGGTTTAGATCTGGTTTAGTCCTGGTTTAGATCTGGTTTAGACCTGGTTTAATCCTGGTTTAGATATGGTTTAGTTCTGGTTTAGACCTGGTTTGACCTGGTTTAGTCCTGGTTTAGTCCTGGTTAAGACCTGGTTTAGTCCTGGTTTAGTCCTGGTTTAGACCTGGTTTAGACCTGGTTTTAGTCCTGTTTTTAGACCTGGTTTAGACCTGGTTTAGGCCTGGTTGAAGACCTGGTTGTAGACCTGGTTTAGTCCTGGTTTTAGTCCTGGTTTAGAACTGGTTTAGTCCTGGTTTTAGTCCTGGTTTAGTCCTGGTTTATCCCAAAATTTGAAAACAGGAACATGCCTCCATGCAGTCCATTTATTTCAACAAAGTAACTGTATTCCAATAACCTCTCACTGAAACAGTAACTGTAACCGAATACAGTTACTCATAATTTTGTACTCGAATACATAACGCCGGTACAAGTAATCCGTTACTCCCCAACACTGCTTAAATGTAAAACTATCACAATTATTCCAGTAGAGGCTCTGTTGTTCCAAACTGGCCACGTCATTGTATAATATAATTCTCTTTAGATCCAGGCTGTTAATATATTAGCCTCATATAAAGTGTATAATGCAATTAGTTTGTCGTGGCCCCTAGAACATAAACGTTTATGTGAGTGGCAGCTAATGTTTTTATGTTAAAAACAATCCGGGCACTTTTCCCTTAGGTGTCAAAATAAACGGATTGCCTCCACGTATTGGCAACGACAGCGCGCGCTAATGGCTCCGGGGGCAGAGATGATTATTATTCTCACACTCTCCATCATGGGTCCGCGCGGAAATAGTGGCCGTGGACAAAAGAAAGCCTCTAAAGTTTCGAGGCAGTCTGCAAATGGGGTCGGTTTGTATGAATCCACATCTCGCCCTGCAAACACTTCCCTCGCATTTGCATTTTGAGTGCGCGAGGAAGGGGCCATTGGGAGTTCTTTTCCGTTCTCCGGCAGCAGCAGAATTAGCTTTACAACTGAGCGCACCAAATTCTTATTACCATCATTATCGACATCAGCATAACAGTGGTCGTAAAGCATCATGCGCCTTGGCTTTGTGCGCCTCTGTCATTTGGCGTTTATGGGGCAGCTCGGGGCCGCGGCTTCGGAGCTGCACATCCTGGTCACGTTAGAAGAAGAAGTGGCTATGGATGAGTTGTTCAGATGTCTGCCTGTGATACTATGGCCCCGTTACGCAGTCGGCGCACAGTGGCAGCGTGTAGGCTCGGAATGCTCCAGAGACGCTCAATTACACCTTAATGTCTTTGACAGAGATCTGAGCGGACCCCTGAATAATTAGTTATTTAAGAGTCCAGGACGTTTAGACCAAATAAACGGTGAGCAATGGGACTGTTATCTGACTGTGGGGCGTGCATTTTCCGAAATAAAGCAAAAATACTGAGACTATTTTCAACAACAGCTCTTCAAAAAGTGTGTATAATATAGGTTAAAGGTAATTCTGATGTGGCGCCGTGGAGTTGGAGAGTTGGAAAGCTCCAGTGCGCTATAGGAAACTCGAGAAAGTCATGACAACAATAATACACAGATATGAAGCCTATCTGCCATCTCATTTGAACGCCTGTCGGCCTACGTCATGGTCTGATTAGATTACATCGGTCTGTGTATAAATATAAATGCTTTATTGTACGCTGGAAGAAACGAAACGTCACGCGTGTTAGTGCGCGCTGAGCCTGCATGTGATGAGGAACAGGTGGTCCGTGCGTAATGGGAGTGGAGGTCACATCTGCCGAGCTATCAGAGCTCACTGCCCGAATATTCACACCTCCGGCCCGGCAAAAACAGGATGCAGTCTTCGTTGTTTAGTGCAGCCATCGAGAAATGTAATAGATCAGATAAGTTCCACGATACTGAGCGGGAAATGTACGCGTAGTAACGAGCGCCGCGTGGAAAGTGGTGCGCATCCACCCAGCTGCGCCATTACGCGTCCAGTTTCTGATTTATTGCAAAGTGTTAGCGAAACACAGCAGGTATTTCTCCAAAGACCACTGACTTTGGGAGCACTCAAACGCGTAATAACTTTTAATGCAGCTTCCTCTGCGCAACGAATGGACGATACAGAGAAGTGACAGGCAAACACACGGCGTATGTTTCTAATTAGGTCTTTCAGCGCCATAAAACACGTGGTTAATCGATTTCACTGGAATGTAATGTTTTGTGGAAGGATCTTAAATGACTTCAAAGTCCATTGTCTCACATCTAGCGCTTTCCCTTTGCGCTGTTTTAAGATCAAACCGATATGGCGCGTATGTTCTTTACGCACGCTTCAATCAAAGGGATATTCGCAGCTCTTTAACGCTGACCCGTGTTGGTCACGTGATACAAGGAAGGATGAGTTACGTCCAAACATTTCACGAAATCACAAGTCTGTACATGTCAGTGTCCCTGAAATGAAATTTGAGTGGGGAAAATATCGATATTGCACGTGATTGTATTTTATGTGCCACTATAGCGCATAATCCTCTCCTGTCTCTAACCAGTTCATTGCCTTCAAATGCAGTCTTGGCAGTCCATATTCCAAATAAAATATAACATTTGATCTGGAATTTATTTCAGAATCATAGTTGTTGTAAAATTGTGTAACTCAATGTGTTTTTGTGTTGTTCCAGTGCGCTGTCCAAAGCTGAACGCTGATTGTAAACTAACATGACGCATGTTGGTGTCTAGCGTAGAGTCCACTCTAGACTGTCTAATTATTATGAAACTGGACAATACACAACACATCCCCTGCGCTTCTCTCACCGAGGTTATAAGTGCAACTGGTTTTGTTAGCCTCAATAGACAATTTACGGAGCAGTCGACTTAATGAATGGCCGTGTGCAGCGGGATAATAGCGCCGCTTATCACCCTATGATGAAGTGCAAACAGGCCATCAGCGGGTCCAATAGAAGAGGAAGAGTGGCGTGAATCCAGACACCCCGATGGAAGTAGCTCCGATTGGAGACGTAATGCGACACATGCGTAAAAATAACACCTCGGGTTCACACCCAGCTGTGCGCTTTTGGCACAAAGCTGACAAGATTCGACACTTTTACGCGCAGTTTTAGTGAAAGGACAACCGGTTTTAAAAGTTTATCACTTACAAAAGAAGGCAGGTAAAGGACTGAAGAGTGGGTTTGGAGTTACTTATGAGATCTAACATTTTCTGTTTACAATCATGTAAACGTATCATGTAGTTTCAGTGGACATTCGTGAGAAGTCACTAAAACCCTTTGTTGTTTTGATCAAGTCATCCTTTATATATTGTGCATTTTTATGTATTGGCTGAGGAGTCACTGCACCAATCAATTGTCTTAAAATATCTGATCTATTTAAGAGTCTCCAAAGTCCAATTTTATCTCAGAAACACTTGTCAGTACAACCCGTTTCGCCAAAACTCATAATGATTATTATCAAATATCCCCAATCAGTCTCTTCTAGTCCAAACACATTTGAGTTTGCCCCTTTGTGAACCCTGGAAAATAAATCAGCCGTGAGCTCCACTACAGTAATGTAAACTTGAACCGCAGAGCATTTGTTCTGGCCCCCAAGGGACCAGTGAGGAGACACACTGTTACTCAACTGTTCATTTGATGGGAACCTTTCCCAGATCTAAATAGAGCTAAATAAATTACACTCTTGTTGATATTGTGAAGATACACACAGCTAAATAGACTGGAGTTAAAACGGCTCTGGCCCTGTCAAACAGTGAGAGGCCCGTATATACTAAATTACATTAGAACCACTATAGGTTTTAATGTGGCGTATAATACGATCTAACCAACCACTGTTTGGCCAGACAGCTGGCATCCCCATCGAGAAGAGTGCCCCCAGTTTACTTTTGAAGCCCTATTAGAAACACTTAGAATTGCTTTCGCTGAGCTAGTGTTGGTCTTAAGTGTATTGATCACCTTATACTCCATATAGCACATGTTTCTTTGTGGCATCCCAGCTATTTAGATGTGTTTCTGTTAAATCACTTAGGCTAAGTGTCTGGTTAGACCACACTTGCAATAATAGTGGCAGCAGCCTGCCCACATTGGCCCATACATTCCTTACTGTACATGATGTGGAGATGCACAGTGGGAGCCCTATTGTGAGTATTGAGTGTCAGCTGGTTAAAGTGCGGCAGACCACATACCCAGGACTCCTTTAGGCTTAATCACCGTTATGGGGTGTGAAAATCATAAATCTATTGAGGTGGTTATGGAAAAGAAAAACAAAAAGTCATCAAGGCCCACTTCAAAGTCAAGCCACAGCACTAAAGTTAAGTGTATGTGGCCAATTAGAGCTATTACAGAGGGGTCAATGGGTGAATAGCAGCAGTAATCACAAAAAAACTCAGCTATGGGGTATCAGTGGAGAGCAGACCTGACAATATTCCCATGGATTTCTATCAGATGGACACCACATGGCAAAGACTGGACAAAACGTTTAAGAAAATGTTAAGATGGGACTGCATGACTAAGGGATCTGGAAAAACGTTGCACTGTATGCCAGGAGGAGTGGGATAGGAATGTCTTACTGAAAATATCTCAAAGAATTACACATTGCAGTTTGGTATTTTTAAGAGCATAATGTTATTCTCCAGTCATAAAGTTACATGAACATGGGCCAGACTGTTTCAGAATGTTTACAAAACCACAAACTGTAGTAACAAATCGTGCATTTTCAAGATTCTGTTTTAAATCGATGTTTGGTTTGTGAATTAGGAGTAAAGTAAATGCTTTGTTGGAGCTCAAATGTTAAGATCTGACTCCTAATATAAAACAGTATTGATAAAATTAACCCTGTGTTTTATAGAGATGCAAATGCAAGACTTGGAGTTACTTTTACCACTTAACCAATATTAAAATAAGAATGTCTGGGCTATGTTTTAGTTTCAAAGTTCAAAGACCTCATTGCATGGCCATTTGAGTCGTTCTCACTTGCTTTGATCAAACTTAAATCATTATGTAATTGTCCAAGAGTTTTGATCGAAAATGAATCGGTCGCGTAACGGTTTCCACATTAGAAGGAGCAATTATAGTGAATGATAGAGGCGTCCCCTTCTCACCCACCCCCAGCTCGGTCATCCCAGCCCCATCACCCCTTCTCCTCCTCCCGCTCAGTGGCTGCTCCGAGCTGTCAGGGAGCGCACTATAAAGACCAAAGGGACGGACCTGGGAAGAGCTTATAACGCTGTTGGTCGCCTACCGGACAACTACAGGAGCGTGAAACCTTTTTACTGATGATTTGATACACGAACTACCATTAGTGGATTTAACAAGATTCTCTTCTGAAGGATATCGTGCTCGGGGGTTTTCAGAGAGTGGAGTATTTTTGGGAAAGTTTAGCGACTCCGAGGGACCCTGGGATGCTGGCTGTGTCCGTGCTGTGCGTCCTGAGCTGTGCGTGGCTGCACACCGAGGCGGCCTCCCGGCTCAAGTCCCCCGCGCTGCCCATCCAGTCCGAGAGAGAGCCGCTCCCCTCCAAGGGCTTATCAGGTGAGCCACTGCAATATCTCCTACGATCTAACAAGTTCTTTGGAATGTCATTTCAGCTACAGGAAACGTTTTACGCACCATGACGCACAGCTGTTTACTATGGAAAATGTTATCTTTGCAATGCGCTATGCAATTTGGCCACTACTAAGTTCCGTTGTATGCTGTGGTTGTTTGCTTCCTTGCCTTATCATGGTTAATTCAAGCAAGTAGCTATATAAATTGCTCGTTTTTTTGTTTAGTAGCAGCAACCCGGATGAATACCCCGTAATTTCTTATCTATTTTAAATTTCCAATAACAAAAAAAATATGTACTGCTTTGTGTGGACACGTTGGAGACACTTTCCCCGTGCGTTCCCCAGTCTCTCCCTCTTGTAAACTGCCAGCAAACATCTGACTCATAACCGCACTGAATACCATTTGATTCATGTGTGAAAGTCCCCGCGTTCAAAGCGCCTTGTGGTTTGTGTAAAAAGGTAACTAAGTACAGGACATAGCCTACGCATTAGTACTCCCCAACTATGCAATTTAGCGTTGGAAAAATGTAATCAATCGGACTTTTCCATTACAAGCATCGGCTACTTGGAGTCTCGGGCATGATTTATTTCGCTGGAGACCGAAGTGGCAAGAGCGCGCACAGATTTTGGCTCAGGCTCGCGCTCTGCAGTCACTTTAATGAAAGAATAATGTGAACCAGCTTGGTAGCAGTGCAGCGGGGTAAGCCGTCAACCCTAGTCAGGTTGGACAGGCACTGAGTAGCCACAGCGCATACGTATGTGCGTGCGTGCGTGCGTGTGCGTAGACTTTGAAATGAGCACATAGCGCAGTTTACAAGCAGCGAGCGATCACAACTAAAAATCACCGTAACACCCCTGCAATTTCGCCCAGCGTAGTAATAAAACGCAGCTATTTTTATCATATGCTACCTTTAATTTAAGCCTAGGGGGAAAAAAAAGTTGTTGATTTTAGCCGAACAAGATCCTTTACGCGTGGAGTTTCGACGCACTTCTTTGCGAAACTGCTTCCTTTACATTTGCATAATACTAAAAAGCAATTCATCAATTTCAAACGAGGCAGAAAAGACTCAATGTTTCCCCACTCACTTTTACAATGCAGTTTAAAACGCCCATAAACTATACCTTAACCATCCGCATATGCACTGAGGCTTTGTGAGGACCACACTAGAGGCAGGATGCAAGGTTAAGTCATAAGCTATCCAGAGATATCTTCCAAAAAACGCCTGGCCGGTGAGCAGAGTCAGATTTATATAGTGCAAGAATTTAAAGCAGAGACAGTCTTAAGGTTCCAATACTTCATCATTGTTGAAAACCTGTTATTTTGCTCTCTTTTCCAACACAATACAGCCATTTTAAGACTTAAACAATGTCCCCTTTGTGCGTCCAAATCATATCTGGCAAAATGAGAAAGTGCAAGCCCCATGTAATCATACCGTAATTGTCCTTCGCTTCTAATCAAGTCTTGCATCTCAAAACAGGCCAGAGATTGACTATCATCCACTTTTTAACCTTGGATATTGTCACGTCTAATTATATGTGTGCCTTTCTCCAGGATGCTCATTTGGAGGCCGCTTCTATTCCCTGGAGGACACATGGCACCCAGACTTAGGAGAACCCTTCGGCGTCATGCACTGTGTTCAATGCAACTGTGAACCCGTGAGTGACTTTTCCATATTTCTGACGTGTTTTTCTACCAAATCGTCCAAGCTTGTCTAAATATATCTTCTCGCGTTGTGGTTTCTCAGCAAAAGAGTCGAAGGGGGAAAGTTTTCGGAAAGGTGAACTGCAAAAACATCAAGCAGGACTGCCCCGACCCGGACTGCGATGACCCCGTTCTCCTGCCAGGACACTGCTGTAAAACCTGCCCGAAAGGTACCCGACACAAATCTTCCACCGCATTAGACACTAGGCATGCCCCGATCCAGCTTTTTCCATTCCGATATCGATACTGTAGCTTTAAGCGGCTTCCGATATCGACTGATACCAGCCCGGAGACTGAAAACAGCGTTTAAACAAAAACAAAACATGACAAAACTGATCTAAATGTGTTATGAAGCTCTTAATTATCCCTCAAGTAACTACAAAGAAAGCGTAAAGTAAAGTTTGTGTAAAAGTTCAAACATTCTGAGACGTTCTTGGCCACATACAACCAGTAAATTGCCAAGAAAGTCATTTAGTAATCGTTAGAAAGTCATTTCGTGAGTAAATAGTCTTACTTATTACATCAGTATGCATGCTTCACTAGAATATCGGCTTAATCGATATTTGGAAGCCGATATCCAATCCAGCCAATTTTTCAATATCGGCACCGACATCCAATGCCAGTACAGTGCCAGGATCGGTGCATCCCTGTTCGATATTTATCCAGCTTTTGGTTTATTTTCGTCACTATTTTAAGGATAAGGGTTTCCATATTGACAGCTTAGTAACATTTTTAGCCTATTCAGTGTTATTTTAGCTTGCATGTGCCCTCCTAACCAAATGGAAAGTGGAGGTAAACCTTCTGGTCACTGGGACAACTGCCTCTATGTGTTGCGGTCATGTCTTAAGGAAAAGCCTGTTTATTTAAGCGCGGGCTCCCAAATTGCGGCGCACGGCTATATGTTTGCTTAAATGATGGAAAATACACTGCATCTGCGCGTGCATAATGTAATGTTGGTGCACCTGAGGATAGGCCCGAGCTAATTGGGAGCAAAGTGAGAATGAAAGTACCCAGAAGCCTTTGCAGAGCGGAGAAGGGGCAAGGAGAGGTTAAAATTTATGACACGCACAAGTGGAGCAGGCAGTTTGCGGCCACGGTGACTAATCCTTGCATTTTGAAGCTCATAACGAAGTCACTTTATTTGGATGTTTGGACAAGTGTGCAGGCAGCGAGGGCCCGAACAGCTCATCATTGTTAGGACTGCACGCTAATGTCGTACTCAATTTTGCTGACAGTTCAAATGACAAGACCAAGTACTTTTTGTGCTTTTGGCAAGATACACCATATGCAGGGACTTCAGCAACAATTATAACCATATGATCTGACATACACTATTTCTCTTCGTTTTTGGATCAGAACTGGGCAATATAATCAGTCAAGTTTACTCGAGTATATATACTTGAGTAACGTTTTCATTTGAACTTCTTAGACACTGTTCGTTTGCTCCTACTTAAGGAATATATTTTACAGTAACTTTTACAGTACTTTTTCTTGTGTAAAAGTTTTCATTGGTCTTCCATTGGCCTTTAAGGAAGTTTACAAGTGACCGAAGATTTATGTTGATTTTAACTTTTTTGTTTCCTTCAAATATGATTTTCAAATTTCTACATTACATTCAAATTATAAATCAGACGTTACATCCTGACAGTTACTTACAAATACTCTTACTTGACTTTTCCCAAATACTTCCCAATTACCTTTTTTTGACCAATACTTTGTACATCTACTTGCGTAAAATATTTTTGAAGTAACAACACTCTTAATTGAGTATTGGCTTCTATACCAACCTCTGCTTATGATATATTTTATAGATTTTCCTTAAAAATGTAAAATTTAAACGTTTCTATTGGAGGGTCCACTGTTAGTCACCATGGCTTTGTCCAGAATGTTCCACAGTATAGATTAAATTTATCTAGACAAGCTTGTCTAGGGAGACAAGCAGGTTACAGCACTATGCTAAATTACTATTCAGATCTATGGAGAGTCGCACCCCGATTCACAGAAAGAATTATTGTATTTTTGAGCAATAGAAACTAGCCTGATTCATCAGCTGGTTTCACTTCGTGGAAACCGTCTGACCTCACAGCATTAGGATTCGTTCACTTGACAGTAGGCGGGCACATTTTTTAATTTAAACAATTGCTGCTCTTTGGTTGGCTTTAAATTCTCGATCTCGGGAATCGTTGCCAACACAGAAGGTATGGCTCTTCGCTGATTGGATAGTGCCCAGACTCGCACTTCCGGGTTCTGGCAAACCGTGTAGTGTATTCCTGACCTAGTCGCTGAAGAGAAATCAAATTGAGAAATGAAATGAAATTGAGCGGAGGCACTAGGTGGCACCAGCCTGGCCACACCATAATAAATAAACGCTAGATGTATTTGTTTAATGTCATATCATGGAACATTCCAAGACAAAGCAATAATAACATCTCCATGGAGCCAAGCAGGTAGTGGACCCTCCACCAGAAATGCGACACATTCTACTTTTAAGTACAGTGATCCCAAAATGTTAAGGTAAAAAGGACAAAAGACGCATATGTGCACCAGACTTAGGAAAAATTCTGCATATTGTGTTTAGAAATGATCTGGTTCACTTCTTGTTTTAGCCAGAAAGTGTTCTTAAGACTGGCATGCAAAGTTGGAAGTCTGTATAGCTTTTCCATGTTTATAATAATATTGGGAAATTTCAAAATCGTATTAATCTCACTGCCATCTACAACAACTTTTATGCTTTGTTTATCTTTTCTAGTTGGTCACGACAAGAAACACACAGATCCAATGCTGGATACCTTTGAGTTCCACGAAAAGGGCAAAGATAAAGAAGACGACTTGCACAAATCCTACAACGATAGATCCTACCTCAGCTCCGAAGACATGGGGCCTGGAGAGAGTCGTACCGGTGAGTTGCACAAGATTGATTTCGCGGTAACAAATCAGAGCGCATCCATAATTCCTAATCCCTCTTGTGCTGTTTTGTCTTGCAGATTTTGTGGCCTTACTGACAGGAATAAAGGACTCCTGGTTGCCAAGCTCCAGCGGTGTAGCTAGAGCCCGCTTCACTCTGACCAGGAACAGCTTGGCTTTCTCAGTCACATACCAAAGGTGCGCATAAGTCCCATAGGCGTCTGTGTTTTTATGTCGTTTGGCGATGTATCCTCCCACTGCTAATCTTCCGTGTTATAGCTACTGGGAAATTTATAATGGAACACAAGTTATTTGAGAACGTTGCGCAACAGAAACAGCATACTTTACTGTGTACTGATACTTTGCAGCTGATGTCATGAATATTTCCTGGGAATGTGGCGCTAACTGAAGGCACTGCTCTGTTAGAGGCTCTTGGAAGTTTTCACGAGAAAACTTACGGATAAAAACGTCAAAATATTTTATTGGAAGTGCCTTTCGTTTAGACGGTGTTTTGGGGGCTTAAAAACGCAAAAATTTGAAACCGCCCTCCAAAGTACGAAAGTTGAATATGCTCCGCTGTAGCATTTCTGTCGCAAAACTCTGGTCAGTCTGCTTGCGTCGCGTACACATTTACATCACATACATCACCACCTATCCGCCTGGCATGCATAACCAATCAAATTCCACACACTTTTGCATCACGGTATGCGCGCAGATTTCCTCCCGAAAACACTCATCTAAACGTGGAATAAAAAGCGAAGACACGACGCCACTTTTGCGTCATCTGTTCAGACCTATATATAAACATAACCTAAATCTTTATTTTAACACAATCTGACCGTATTGATCACAGGCTCTTGAAAATGCTCAGTTTAAATCCATTTGATATTTTTCTTGAGTTTTCCGACCACTTTAAAACGTTTTTAGTCTTGGGTTTGCTGATGTGTGTGTCGCCATGGTAACTGCACATAGAAAACCCCCAGCTGATCTCACTAAAGTGTCAATAAAACCATGTTTGCTTGGAATGTTCCGCAGTATGGCATTAAACGTATCTGTTGAGAAAGAATACCATGGAAAAAACATACGCCATTTAAATCCATTTTGTATTTTTTCTTGAGTTTTCCGACCACTGTACAACTTTTTCTGCCTTGTGTTTGCTGATGTGTGAGTTGCCATGGTAACTGCACGTTGAAAACCCTCAGCTGATGTCACTGCAAAGTATCAATAGACCCATCTTTGCTTGGAATCTTCCGCCGTATGGCATTAAACGTATCTGTTGAGAAAGAATACCTTGAAAAAAAAAACATGCGTCATTTAAATCCATTTTGCATTTTTTCCTGAGTTTTCCGACCACTTTAAAATGTTTTTTGCCTTGGGTGTGCTAATGTGAATGTGTTGCCATGGTAACTGCACATAGAAAACCCCCAGCTGATGTCAATGCAAAGTATCAATAGATCCATCTTTGCTTGGAATGTTCCACAGTATGGCATTAAACGTAACGTAATGTTGAGAAAGAATACGTTGAAAAAACACGCATTCTTATCGTGAGAAGGTTCACCTCTCCACAGATCTGACCCGTAATGGATTGGCTGAAGTTTAATTGCCATACTGTCAGAGAAAGCAGGTAGCAGACTCTTCATAAAAAGTTACATAGTGAACCTTTAAAATATACCATGCACTATTGTATTTGTTTTAAAGTTATGTAAAAACCCAAGTAGCTGACGGATAATTGCTCACTATTTTCACTCTGTCTCGTTTTAGAATGGGCCGTCCAACTAAAATCGTCTTTCTGAGTGTGGACGGGACGACTGCCTTCGAATATAAAGTGCCCAAGGGAAACTCAGACATGGTAAGAAGACGGAACTAGGAAATAATTTTGCTATTGCTTCCACTTGCCCAGTGTTTATGTCCAAGTTAAGTACGCACATGACTAAGGCTGCTGCGTTGACTTTTCTTCCCATGATTCACTTTGTAATAATAAACACAACCCTTCACTTGAACGCTACAATGCAAAAACACGGTGACACATTCAAGCCACATGAAACGTTTGACTAGAATTAACCTAAAAACTTTAAGATTTATCATTTATTTTTAACACAAACTGACCTTGATTGGAATTACATAAGGTGAGGTGATTTGTGCAAACAAGTCTCCCACAAATAAAATTAAACTTCTAAACAGGACCATTTTGGGGTTTTTTTCTTGAGTTTTTAGACTATCTTAAAAACTTTTTTGTCTATTACTAATGTGTGTGTCACCATGGTAACAAGAAACATTTGACTAGAATAAAAGTAAAAACTCTAAAGGTGCATTTTGTAACTTTTTGAGGGTCTTTCACTTGCTTGTTTTTATAGATATATCTGAAATGTTCCACAGTATGACATTAAACAGCTCTACTTTACATTTATGAATTTATTTATAGCTCAAAAAACCTAGAAAAACAACATTCTGACTGTGAGCGGGGTAGCTTCTCCTCAGATCTGACCTGTAACTTGGTCTGGTTCTCCATGAAGATAGGAAATTTAACGCCAAACTGTGAAACATTCCAAACAAACCAGTAACATCTCCATGGAGAAATCATGTGACAAACCCTCCACCGGAAAAGTTACACAACGCACCTTTAAGATTTCAGTTTCGTTTTAGTCATTTATTCTCGGTTTTACAGTAGTACGAATGCATACGCCCTTAGCCAACGTAAATACATCTTCTTACTCCCCAAAAGGTTGAGCCGTGAAACTAGAGGCCCCAGTAATACAAGTCCCAGAAATTGGCCTATTATTATTTTTAGATAAATGTCACGTCAACCAGCGGAGGACCTCAGAGAAAAGAACTCAAAAATGGAAGAGGGGAGGGATATGAGGAAGGCAGCCAAAACAGAAAAAGGTTTTGAGATTTTTCACATGTTAGCTCATTGTTGGGACCAAAGTATCTCTAATTAAAACGGAGATTACCTCTGAACCTTGAGTTATGACGCATCGGCACGAAGCCAGTTCTCTCCGCGCAGCTCCCATGCTAGAATATGAGCGAAAAGCCCTGTTGTGTATTGTGATTTGAGCTGTTGGCTATACATTTACATACATGCTTTTTTCTGCAGATTTGTGGAGTGTGGAAGAACATTGCTAAGCCCCTTCTACGACAGCTGCAGTCCGAACAAATGCGGATCACCATGACGACGGCCAGTAGTAGGCGCGACGAAGTGGAGGGCAAGATTATCAAACATAGAGCGCTGTTTGCTGGTAAGAAATTAGACACTATAGCCACAAAAACACGAAAACAAATGCGTATAATTTGGCTTTGGCTTTGGCACAGTGTAACTTTTCTGGTGGTGAATATTCTGCCACCTGATAGTTGCCATGGAGATGTTCCTATTGTTTTCGAAGCGTCTTTAAGTGCCCGAAAAACACTATTTAACAATATCCGAGTCTCACGATACGATATTGTCACGGTATGAACCTCACGGTACAATATTTATTGTGATATCGTGGGAAAGCTCACGATATGGTGGAGAGGCTCATCATTAGGGATGTAACAATATCCAAATTCCTCGGCACGATATTTTCACGATATACATCTCACGGTGCGATATTTATTGCGCAATTTTGTAGAGGTTAATTTTCTACTTTTTCCTCTTAAAATGCCTTGACAAGACTTAATCCAAAGATCTAAAACTTAAAAGTGCTTAGAACTGTTATTTCTTCTTGTAGTCTACACTGAAATGAAGCTGGATGGATACTACATATGCCTTATAAACAACAAAAAAGCACATTTCTCAAAAAGGAACAAGGAAAACTTATATTAACCCACCCCTATTCATGACATAATTTCAAAAATGGTCTTTGTAGTTCTCTCTGTCTTTTTTAGCTGTTGCTGCACCATAACTCTTAAACAAAGAGACTTGTAATTCAATATATTGTGATGGTCAACGATATTATTGTGAGAACTTTGACGATACGATATCACGATATTTCGGTTATTGTTACATCCCTAATTATTATTATTATTATTTATTATGTGTGTACGATCCCTCAGTTGTCCAGGTAGAATCCTTTTGCTATTATTTATTTTGTTATTGGTGGCCTAAAATGTTCCACAGTATGGCATTAAACTTCTCCTTGGAGACAGTAGTTGGCGCTACAAGATCATATTACGTGTCTGTGGAGTGTCACGCACAGTAATGTACACTGGGCAACTTAAACTATTTATTTCTGAATGAAAGTGTAACGCTATACTGTGAAACATTTAAGTTGAAGCTGTAACATCTTTTTAGAGACAAGCAGTTCTCACGCACTTCAGAAAAGTTACATAATACATCTTTAATCTTTGAACTCTCCATGTTTTTAGTCTTTTTTTTAGAGAGTAATTATTTGGAATGTAACAATAACCAAAATATCATGATATCGTATCGTCAAAAGTCTCACAATATATCGAATCACAAGTTCCTTTGCTTAAATGCATGGTTTTATAGTAGCAACAGCTTATAAACATCAGAAACTACATATCCCATGATTCATTTCAGTGCAGACAACATGAAAGATATGTTTTTTACTTGAATTCTTGGGATCATGACGGAAATAATTCACTTCAAAATCTTCTCAAGCTATTTTAAAAGCAAAAAAAGTGTCCTAGCTACAGTTATATTAGCTTCTCCAAAAGATCACAATAAATATCGTACCGTGAGATACATATCGTGATAATATTGTACAGAGAGATTTGGATATCGTTACATCCCTAGTTATCATAAATGGATAAATTGCAATGTACGTACTAGGTAATAGTTGGTAATATGTATTTGTATTTTATTCTAGAAACTTTCAGCACGATTCTCACATCAGAAGAGGAAAACTCCGGTATGGGGGGTATCGCCATGTTGACCCTGAGTGACACGGAGAACAACCTGCACTTCATTCTCATCCTTCAAGGCCTCATCAAGCACAAAGGAAAAGGTAACACCTATAGAAATGACTGTAACATTAATTACAGCTAAGTGAGACCTTACATCTAAACAATATATTTTGGTTTCATCAGATCCACTTGTGGTGCCCATCAAAGTCCAAATGGTGTATCGTCAACACGTCCTGAGAGAGATCAGAGCTAACATCACCTCTCATGTAAGTCAAAATGAAAGATTCAAAAATAAAATTGTTTACTTTTATTATAAAGGGACAGGCCGAAATTTTGGACATAGGACCTTATTTCCTAGTGAGCCAGAGTGTTGGAGACGTGTGGAGACACTTTTTAAAATATTCCATCCAGTCTTTGTATTTGCAGAGGTCGCTGGTGCTAGGCTAGTGCATGTCAATGGCCATAGTTAGCCTGACACAAAAAATAGTCTTACCCACTCCACAAAACACCCAAAGCAAATCTATTACTATACCAGACGGTTGATGTAAATGTCTGTGTTGATAGAATAATGTTTGAAATAAAACTAACCTTGCATTGCATGACTCATTGCATGTTGAGGGACTATTTTGTCACATATCAGTCCACCACTGCCAAACTTGCTATCAGTACAACTCGCTGCTGCTGCTGCTGCTCAGACATAAATCCTTCAAATGCAAGGTTGGTTTTACTTCTAAAATTATTCTATCAACACAGACATTCACATCGACAGTCTGGCGTAATATTAGATTTGCTTTGGGTGTTTTGTGGAGTGGATAAAACAGTTTTTAGCGGCAGGCTAACTATGGCCATTGACATGCACTAGCCTAGCACCAGCAACCTCAGCAAATACAAGGACTGGATGGAATATTTTTAAAAAGTGTCTCTACACGTCTTCAACACTCTGGCTCACTAGGAAATAAGGTCCTATGTCCAAAATTCCGGACTGTCCCTTTAATTTTGTGTGTGTTAAAGGTGGAAGAAACCGCCATCTGCTTGTCTCCATGAAAATGTTATTGCTTTGTCTAGAATGTTCCACAATATAAATTAAACTTTTTTATAGAACAAGAGAAACAAGCAGGTTATAGCACTATTCTAGATGAAATTACAAATCAGATCTGTGGAGAGTCACCCCTATTCATCACAGAAGGACTTACTTATGAATAAATGTTAGATGGAAATGTTTAATGTCATACCATGGAACATTCCAGGCAACTCAATAACATCTCCATGGAGACAGATAGATGCAGGGCTCTCACCAGAAAAGAAAAGTTACGCGGTGCACTTTTAAGAACAGTACTTACAAGGATTACAATATTTATAACTTCCTTGAAACAAAATAAGCATAGTTAATAAAAATATATATAATTTATAGACGTCTTATAGAGGAAAGTATAACCAGTGTATTTCTTTCAAGTATTAGATCCTATATTTAGTCAAATACCCTGGCAGTCAATTATTCACTTTCATTTTGAGCACTGTTAAAACTAAGCTTATATTTAAGGTATAGTTGCCATGACTACGATGACCCCAAAACATTGACAACATTGTGGAAAGAGTATTAAGAGTATTAAGTACTGAATGACCCTGTGTGATATAAGGCTGTATTAGTGGTGTTGGTGACATAGCACAGGATAATACACTCTCCCTCTTGGTGAAGGATGTGGTTTGGGCACCACATCCTTGCACCACTGTGATCACTGCTACTACCCAGAGACATGTACAGGCAAATGAGATACACGGAGGAAGCGTCTGGGGAGAGGGAGGGGCCGGAGAGGGACGCACACTCCACACATGTCAGTGGTTAGCGGTCTGTGGCTGAGATGGATGGAGAGAGGAGCAGCGATGAAAAGCTGGCCTGGTTTTGATCAAAGTTTAAATTTTGTACTTTCTTTTTGCGTTTATAGTGACTGCCCGTGGAATAAAATGTCAACAATTGTCGCACAAATTGTACTCCAACCAAAACCACTAAAGTCATTTTAAAAACCACGCTGAGTCAGATATACGGACAGCTAAATGTTTTGGGAAAATTTCAGCCATCCGTCAAATGCATCTTCTCCTATCTACCCACTAAATATTGCGTCCATCAATTTCTCGAGAAAATAATTCCTTTTTATAGCCACTCTCCTGTTCCAGTTCTGTTTTGGCTTGTAGCTGCTGGGTTCAGATTTATGATCCATGTATATTTATATTGAACCGTGGCCCCAAGGTCATAAAAGTAGCATTTCTTCAACACGCCGGTACATCTGCCCTATTAATCGTCCATTTCTCAACATTTCATACTAGCCTCTTTCTCGTTCTTCCTACAACCTGCTTGAAATTACACTAGAACGCAATATGCAATGCGTTAGCAAAATGCAAGCCATATTTTTTGCTCAGAGTCCTTTTTTTGCGTGTGTGACAGAAATTCACTGTTTTTGTCATTCATGATTGTAATAATTCTTGTGTTGTGTTACTCCAGCAACACACGGCAAAACAACATATTCAGATTTGTGTTGACTTTTAATTAAGCCCCGTGAAATCTGCTGGAAAAACAGAAACCAGATTAGCCAGCCGTTAACTGCGAGGAGAAAGGATAAGTGTCATTAATCCACAAAGGAAATTGTGAATCATATGCATGAGCTGTACAATTGTAAATATAACTGAGCTTATTGCAAAAAACTCAACCTAAGTTTTCATACGATAGAGCATCATAAAAACTTTTAAATTTGTTTTTGAATGTAATTTTTAAAAGCATTGCAAGGTTTGTTCTGTTATGGTTCTCAAAAGTAATTCAGATTTGGCATATGCGTTCAAAATTGGCATATACACAAACATAAAAACATAAGTATCCAGTTATTTAATGTAATGTTATGTTATGTTGTTATATTGTCTGTTATGCAGAGGCGGCGCTACCATTAGGCCACAGTAAGCAGCTACCTAGGGCCTCCAAACCTCAGGGGGCCCCCCAACCTAATTTGATTTTCTCTCAATATGACATTAAATGAGAGTAGTTTACTTTTAAACAAGAAAACACCATCAAAATAGTGTCTGATTATCAAATCTGTTTTAATTTTCAAAGCATTCCCTCCCTTCACGTTAGAATGGACAAGTCCACCTGCCCCTGATTTTAACATAATCATAGCATAATCATATCATAATCATAATCATATATAATGGATGTAAACAAAAATGTAATTGTACCTGCAAAAAAAAATAAATAAAACTACTTTCAGCTCTGATTATCTAGTAGACTACCTACAGTAACTAATAAGACAAGTTTCCAATCCGCCTTAATTCAAATAGGGATGTGTGTGTCTCAAGAACTGTGGGGAAAAACAGACAATAAATATTAAAAATACAAAAAAAACAACAATAAAACAGTGCATTATAGTGAGGGCCCCAAACACAAGTTCGCCTAGGGCCCCCAAATTGCTAACCCCGCCACTGATGTTATGTTATATGTTTTTATGTAATTATCTACCAGTGGGTTAAGATTATTATTATTATTTATTTTTTTTATTATTCAAGCAAATTAGATTTTGTTTCTTATTTTAAGTGCAAAAAGCTGTTGTTTTTCTTATTTTAAGTGTAGCAAGATGTATGTTCATATTCTAAGTACAAAAGTCTTATTCCACTGGCAGATAATTTTACTTGTCAAATGAAATTTGATAAGACATTTTGACAAAAACATTTTTTTAATTCAAGTCATCTTAACTTGGCTAGATTTAGTTTTTTGCAGTGTATTGTAATGTTATGTTATGTTATTTGTTATGTAACTCCGCCACTGATGTTATCTTATATGTTTTTATCTAATTATCTACCAATGGAATAAGAGTGTTTTTTCTTAATTCAAGCAAAATTAGATTTTGTTTCATATTTTAAGTGCAAAAAGCTGTTGTTTTTCTTATTTTAAATGTAGCAAGCTGTATTTTCATATTCTAAGTACAAAAGTCTTATTCCACTGGCAGATAATTTTACTTGTCAAAGGAAATTTACTCAAATCATGATAAAACAGTTTTTAAATTCAAGTCATCTTAACTTGGCTAGATTTAGTATTTTGTAGTGTGTTGTCATGTAATGTAATGTTATGCAATATAATCAAATGTTATGTTATTTTAATTAACCCTTGCAAACTATTTCAATACATGACCAGGATCCGGATTTCGCCGAGGTGCTGACAGACCTGAATAGCCGCGAGCTCTTTTGGCTGTCGAGGGGTCAACTCGCCATCGCCGTGACAACCGAGGGTCGCGAACCCAAACAGATTTCTGGCTTCATCACCGGGCGACAATCATGTGACAGTAAGTAAATACGGGTCATTTCACATGAGCACAAAGGCACTCGAAGCATCACTTGTAGTTCATTTAGTCCTGTCCATCTGTAACTGTTTTTGTCATTTCTTGTAAGCAAGTTTCTCTTTTGTCTCACTCTATCCTTTCAAGTCTTATCGCTGGGGGAAATCGTGTTTATAGACCTCATGTTTGACTTGGTGGCTTGTGTGTACGCATGCATGCCAGTTTGTGCGTATGGGAGCGAGGCAGAGGGGGAAAGAAAAGAGGAAAAAAAAAGAGGAATGTTGTGGATGGCTTGGTGCTTTAAAACGCACACATGTTTTTTGAATGGGACAAATGCTGGAACAATATGTGTAGCTATTTCAATAGACTCCAAATTTTGTCTTTTTCACTTTCCAGCGAGTGATCCCGTAGGTGTCATTTGTTCTAGCACATTCTGTATTTCTTGTCTTCTCCCTCTTTCGTTCACATATTGATTTGAGATCGTTTCTACGCCAGATGCCCTTTCAGACCTCTGCGCTAAAATGTTTTATAGCATGTGCATTAACTTTATCTGCACATGACCGATCCAATATCCTCCTTTTCTCTCTCTCTGTCTCTCTCTTTCTCTCTCTGTCTTTCTTCTCTTTCCCTTTTCCCCCTCCCCTCTCTCTCTCTCTCTGTCTCTCTGTTCTCTCTCCCTCACTCTTTCTCTGTCTCTCTATTTCTCCACCTGTCTCTCTCTCTCTCTTTCTATTTCTCCACCCTCTCTCTCTTCTCTCTTTCTCTACCCCTCCCCTCTCTCTCTATTTCTCTCTTCTCTTGCTACCTCTCTCTCTCCTTCTCCACTTCTCCTTCTCTCTCTGTTTCTCTCTCTATTTCTCCAACTCTCTCTCTATTCTCTCCCTCCTTCTCTCTCGCTGTTTCTCTGTTCTCTCTCTCCCTCACTCTGTCTCTCTATTTCTCCACCTGTCTCTCTCTCTCTCTCTCTTTCTAGTTCTCCACCCTCTCTCTCTTCTCTCTTTCTCTAACCCTCCCCTCTCTCTATCTTTCTCTTCTCTCACTACTTCTCTCTCTCTCTGCCTCTCTCTCTCCCTCTCCACTTCTCTTCTCCCCTCTTTCTCTCTCTATTTCTCCAACTCTCTCTCTATTCTCTCCCTCCTTCTCTCTTGCTGTTTCTCTGTTCTCTCTATTTCTCCACCTGTCTCTTTCTCTCTCTCTTCTCTCTTTCTCTACCCCTCCCCTCTCTCTCTCTCTCTTCTCTCACTACTTCTCTCTCTCTGTCGCTCTCTCTCTCCCTCTCCACTTCTCTTCCCCCCTCTTTCTCTCTCTATTTCTCCAACTCTCTCTCTATTCTCTCCCTCCTTCTCTCTCTCTGTTTCTCTGTTCTCTCTCTCTTACTCTTTCTCTTGCTCTCTCTTTCTCCACCTCTCTCTTTCTCTCTCTCTCTCTCTATTTCTCCACCTCTCGTTTTTGTCTTCTTATCTGTCTCTCTCCCTCCTCTATCTGTTTCTCTACCCCTCTCTCTTCTCTTTTTCTCTACCCCTCCCCCCTCTATCTCTCTCTTCTCTCACTACTTCTCTCTCTCTTTCTCTCTTTCTCTACCTCCATCTCTCTCTTCTCTTGCTACTTCAATCTCTCTGTGTCTCTCTCCCCCTCTCCAGTTCTTTCCCTCCCTCTCTATTTCTCTGCTCTCTCCCTCCCTCTTTCTCTCTCTGTCTTCTCTCCTTCCTTCTCTCTCTCTGTTTCTCTGTTCTCTCCCTGACTCTTTCCTCTTGCTCTCTATTTCTCCACCTCTCTCTCTCTCTCTCTCTCTCTCTCTATTTCTTCACCTCTCTCTGTGTCTCTACCTGTCTCTCTCTCCCTCCCTCTCTCTTCTCTTTCGCTATCCCTCCCCTCTCTCTATCTCTATCTTTTCTCTCGCTACTTCTCTCCCTCCCTCTTTCTCTCTCTATTTCTCCACCTCTCCTTCTGTCTCTCTCCCTCCCTCTCTCTCACACTCTCTATCTCTCTACCTTGTACGTGTTTCTCTCCCTTTCTCTCTTTTTCTCTCTCTTTTCTCTATTTCTCCACCTCTGTCTCTCTCCTTCTCTCTCTTTTTCTCTCTCTTTTCTCTCTCTATTTCTCCACCTCTCTCTCTCTCTTCTCTTGCTACTTCTCTCTCTCTCTCTGTCTCTCTTACCCTCTCCACTCCCCCCCCCTCTATTTCTCTGTTCTCTCTCTCTGTCTCCCTCCTTCTCTCTCTATTTCTCCCCCTCTTCTTCTGTCTCTCTCTCTCTGACGCTCTCTATCTCTTTCTCTCTACCTTGTACGTATTTCTCTCCCTCTCCCCCTTTCTTTCTCTCTCTCTCTTTTCTCTGTCTATTTCTCCACCTCCTCTCTGTCTCTCTTTACCTCTCTACCTCTTATGTATTCTCTGTCTCTCTCCCTCTACCTCTCTACCCTGTATGACCCCCCCCCCACCTCTCTGTCTCTCTCTGTTTCTCCACCCCTCCCTCTCTCTCTCTCACTTATGTATGTATTCCTCTCCCTCTCTCTCTCAATCATTTTAAACCCAGCCACATTCAACAAGCGTTACCTCATCCTCTTTAAAGCCTAACCTTGGGCTTTTTCGTCCACTCCAGACACTGAAACGACACGCATGTTTTGGTCAAGGGCGCGCACGCACTTTCACCGCTGGCCCCTCCCCCTCATTAAGTGACTCAATTGCGTCTGTCCTTCCGATGACTTCTGCCGTGTGATGGAATGACATGGATGTGTGCGCGGCTTCCCTTTAAGACCCCGGGGACCGAGACGTGCCCCCTTTTCACTCAACGGACCCGGGCTATTTTAACGTGACAGTTCTGATTGCATCATCTTGCATGCTGTCAAGATGTGCTATGGTTCTGAGGGAGGGATAATTCGAAGGGAAATGTGACGGTTGATAAGCGAACGCTGTTTTGTATTAAAGGTGCATTGTGTAATGTGATGGAGGGTCCATCAAATGCTTCATATTGCGTCAAATTGTGCGTTGGAGATGTTATTGCGTTGACTATAATGTTTCGCGGTGTGGTTTTAAAGCTTTCTGTCTTCACGGAATCCGAACCAGATCGTGTTACAGGTCAGATCTGTGGAGAGGCGACCGAGCTCACAGTCAGAATGTTGTTTTTCTAGGTATTTTTGTGCTATAAAACCACCTGCTGCACATGAATTTCGGACTTCCGGTCATCGTGCAATGCATACTGGGAAGGATCCTCCAAAAAAGTGAGCGTCTATTGTCAAAGCCGATCTTTTCAAGTCTTTTGAACCATATTGCTTTTGTTTCTGGTTCCGATATTGTCATATTTTAGTTTTGGGATTCAGACATCGTAATTGTGTGGTTGTTGAATCCTAACAGCAGAAAACGGCTCAAGAAATTTGTTTGCGAACTCCATAAATGCAAAGGGAGTCAGATCTGTATGACTGCAAACCTCATTTCAAACTTTTTCCCTTCCCAATGGAATTGAAAAATAGTGAAAGGTGAAGGCGATGGGCAGGATTGATACACAGGAAGGATGAAAAAGGAAACCTTTGGCTGCCTAAGAAATCATCCTGAGGTTGCAGCGAACATTTTGTGTGTGGAGCGCCATCAAAGCGGGATCCCATTTTGTTAAGCGAGAGGTGCAGAAGACCAGAAGAAGAACAGGCTGAGCTCACGCTTTCTTTTTTCGACTGGCTGTACAGCAACATTACGTCTTGGTCGCTTTGCAGCAGAAGGTGTTTCTTGGGGAACAGTTGGTGCTTTTCACTTTGGCGTTGACTTTTAAAATTCGTAACCAAGGTGGAGCGAGGGATCGGGATTTTGATTTGTTGGCGCTCCACATACAAATAGTTTGCTGCAAACTCGGGATGATTTCTTTGGCAGCCAAAGGTTTCCTCTTTGGTCCTTCCTGTGTATCATCCTGCCCATCGCCTTCGCCTTTCACTATTTTTTTATTCCGTTGCAAAGAGAAATGGTTTGAACGGAGGTTTGCAGTCACAGATCTGATTCCCTTTTGCAGTTATGGAGTTCGCAAACTTCCACAGCCCATTTCTTGAGCTTTTTTCCACTGCTACGACATCCAACAACCACACAATTACGATGTCTGAATCCCATAACTAAAATATGACAATATCAGAACCAGAAACAAAAGCAATATGGTTCAAAAGAGTTGAAAAGATCAGCTTTGACCATAGACGCATCCCACTGGGAAATCAAGCATGGCGGTTTGATGCTCACTTTTTGGAGGATCCTTCCCTGTATGCATTGCGCGATAACCCAAAGTCCAAAATTCTGGATGCATGTGTTGAATAAATGTGAAGTAGAGCTGTTTAATGTCATACTGTACTGCAGAATAAAGACATATCCATAGAAAAAAGTTACACCTTTAATCAAATTTCTGTTTTTATGTTTTTTAGCTATTCAAAGCGTAATGTCGAGCGGCGATGCTCTCATGCCAGGAAAAACTGGAGGAGTCGGTTCGGCCATTTTTAAACTACACGATAACGGGACGCTGGACTATCAGGTTTGTAACAAATTGAGTTAGTTTCTGTGTGCTTTGGTAAAGTAAAAATCATTTCATAGTGCATATTTCTAAAGTGAGAAAAGTGACTGTGGTCTGCCAATGTTTGGAAAAAGTTACCATGGTGGACTGTGAAATCTGGTGGAAAAACAGAAACCAGATTAGCAGCCTGTTAACTGCGAGGAGAGAGGATAAGTGTCACTGATCCACAAGGAAATTGCCTGGTCATAGCAGCTTAGTTGCACTGCAAACTTGAATAAACATATGCAAAAAAGAAAAGACTACATGTGGTAATAGCAGTACTCTAGTTAGGTTTAGTAGTAGCAGTAGCAGTAGCAGTAGTAGTGGTAGTATAGTCCTGATATTTTCATTAGCATTTTTAGTAGTAGTGGTAGAAGTGGTAGTACTAATAGTCCTGTTATTTTCATTAGCATTGGTAACATTAGAGGTAGTATGGCAGTTGTAGTATAGTAATAGTAGTAGTAGTAGTCCTGTTATTTTCATTAGCATTGGTAGTATTAATGGTAGCATGGTAGTAGTAGTAGTAGTAATAGTGGTAGTAGTCGTCGTCGTAGTAGTAATAGTAGTAGTAATAGTCCTTTTATTTTCATTAGCATTAGTGGTAGCGTGGTAGTAGTACTAACTGAAGTAGTAGTAGTAGTAGTAGTAGTAATAGCCCTGTTATTTTCATTAGCAGTGATAGTAGTAGTGGTAGTAGCAGCAGCAGTAGTAGTTGTAGTAGTAGTAGTCTTGTTATTTTTATTAGCATTCGTAGTAGTATTGGTAGTATGGCAGTTGTAGTATACTAATAGTAGAAGTAGCAGTAGTAGTACTAGCAGTAATAGTTCTGTTATTTTCATTAGCAGTGGTAGTATTAGTGATAGTATGGTAGTAGTAGAAGTAGTAGTAGTAGTAGTAGTAATAGTAGTAGTCTTATTATTTTCATTAAGATTGGTAGTAGTAGTGGTAGTAGCAGTAGTAGTAATAGTAGTAGTAGTAGTAGTAGTAGTAGTAGTAGTAGTAGTAGTAGTAGTAATAGTCCTGTTATTTTCATGAGCATTGGTAGCAGAAATAGTAGTAGTAGTAGTAGTAGTAGTAGCTTAGTTGCAAACACTTAAATAAACATATACAAAAGATTATACAATTATAACGTAAATATCATGAAGCATATGTACAAAAAACACAACTTCACTTGTATAATGCAATCCAAGTTTTCATACAAATTTTCTCAAAAAGTGATAAAAATTTGGCATTCGAAATGGGCACATACACAAACCTACAGGAAAACAAAGTATCCATTTCTTATTTAATGTAATGCAATGGTATTTTATTTATTTTATGTAATTGTGTGTATTTATTTATTTTATTTTATTAATTCAAAATTGGCACATGCACAAACCTACTAGAAAACATAACAAGTATCCAGTTGTTTATTTATTTATTTGTATTTCACTCTGTGTCCTATTATTATTAACTTTGCCATGTCTTCTATTTAGGTCCAAGTCGCCGGTCTCAGTAGTAACATCCTCGGGCTGACCATCGAGCAGAAGCCCCGGCGCCGGAACAAGCGGTCGGTGCTTTATGACCTGACCCCGGAGTACAGCGCGGTTACCGGACAGGCCGTGGGCAGCTGGAGCAGGCTGGAGGCTCGACACATCCACATGCTCCTGCAGAACGAGCTCTTTATTAACGTGGCCACAGCTCACAACCAGGACGGAGAGCTCAGGGGGCAGATCAAGGCTTTGTACTACAGCGGACTGGACGCGCCCAGGCATGGTAAGAAATACACCGCCACAGGGATATAGACCTAGATGTGTATGTGTTACAATCATTTGTGTTCATTCGGGTAGTTTTTTAATTTAATTAAATTTTTGTTTTAATTTTTTCAATTTTGCAATTTTTTCTATTAAGCACAAACAGCAACAATAAATAAATAAACAAATAAATAAATAAAAATAGGCAAATTAAACAAACAAAAACAAAAACTCCCATCCCTCTTACTACACCAAAAAAAAAAAAAAATAAAAAAATAAATATATATATATATATATATATATATATATATATATATATATATATATTGGATTAAAAAAAACAACAACAACAACAAAAAGAATTTTAGATCACGTGCAGTTTTTATCACTAGCACATCATTTGTTTGGCAGTTAATTTAAAAAAGTTTTAAAATTGAAAATAAAAATTACCTGGTACACTGAAAATGAAATTTAAAAAAAAAAAGGAAAGAAAATTTTAATTAAAACTAAAGATGCATTGTGTAACTTCTCTGGTTTAGGGTTAAATACTTCATGGAGATGTTATTGCTTTGTCTGGAATGTTTCACAGTATGGCATTAAGCTTTTCTAGCTTCATGGAGACCAAGCAAGACCAAGTTACAGGTCAGATCTGTGGAGAGGCGATCCCACTCACAGTCAGAATGGTTTTCTTGGTATTTTTTAGCTATAAAACCACCTGTAATTGAATAAATGTAAGGTAGAGATAAATAAATAAAAATAGGCAAATAAAGAAAAAAAAATCTTTGCTTGGTACATTAAAACTGAAATGGAAAAAAGTAAACAACATTTTAATTAAAATTAAAGGTGCATTGTGTAACTTTTCTGGTTGAGGGTTAAATATTTGCATATACTTGTTTGGAATGTTTTACAGTATGATATTAAAACTTTTTATGTTCATGGAGATCAAACCAGACCAAGTTACAGGTCAGACCTGTGGAGTGACAACCCCACTGACAATCAGAATGCTGTTTTTCAAAGTATTTTTAAGCTCTGAAACCACAGGTAATTGAATAAATGTAAGGTAAAGATTAATGTCATACCGTGGAACATTCCAAGCAGAGCAATGACACATCCATAGAAAAAGACTGGTGAAAAATTCAAATTAAAAAATGATTGAGCACAGTATAACGGAACTTCAACTTCATTTCCCCACCCTTCTCCAGAACTGCCCACTCCTCTGGCTGGCTTCTTCGTCTCTCCCCCCGTGAGGACCGGAGCTGCTGGACACGCCTGGGTGTCCGTGGACCAAAACTGCCATCTTCATTATGAGATCGTGGTGGCCGGGCTGAGCAAAGCTGACGACGTGACGGTGAACGCCCACCTCCACGGACTCGCCGAGATCGGAGAGATGGATGACAGCAGCACCACCCACAAAAGACTGCTCACCGGCTTCTATGGCTCACAGGTAGAAACACATATACACATAACATATTTTTCTCAAAGTAGTAGCAGTAGTAATGAGTAAGTAGAAATAAGAGTGGCAGTGGTTGGGAGTTTTTTCCCCCAGATTTACTTTGTTTATTTAAAGTCAAATATAACATATTATTTTCTGAAAATAGTAGTATCAGTAATAAATAGTAAGTAGTAATAAAAGTGGTGTGAGATTTTTTTAATTTTTTGTTCCATATTTACATTATTAATTTAAAGTCAAATGCAACATTTTTTTTTTTTAAAGTAGTAGTAGCAGTAGTAATTAGTAAGTAGTAATAAGAGTGGTCATTTTATTTTTCCAGATTTGCTTTATTATTTATTTAAGTAGTAGTAGTAGTAGTAGTAGTAGTCCTGTTATTTTCATTAACATTGGAAACATTAGTGGTAGTATGGCAGTTGAAGTATAGTAATAGTAGTAGTAGTAGTAGTAGTAGTAGTAGTAGTAGTCCTGTTATTTTCATTAACATTGGAAACATTAGTGGTAGTATGGCAGTTGAAGTATAGTAATAGTAGTAGTAGTAGTAGTAGCAGTAACAGTAGTAGTAGTAGTAGTAGTAGTAGTAGTAGTAGTAGTAGTAGTAGTAGTTGTAGTCCTGTTAATTTCATTAACATTGGAAACATTAGTGGTAGTATGGCAGTTGAAGTATAGTAATAGTAGTAGTAGTAGTAGTAGTAGTAGTAGTAGTAGTAGTAGTAGTAGTTGTAGTCCTGTTAATTTCATTAACATTGGAAACATTAGTGGTAGTATGGCAGTTGAACTATAGTAATAGTAGTGGTAGCAGAAGTAGTAGTAGTAGTAGTAATTAGTAAGTAGTAAGTAGTAATAAGAGTGGCCATTTTATTTTTCCAGATTTGCTTTATTATTTATTTAATGTCAAATGAAACATAATTTTTTCTTAAAGTAGTAGTATCGGTACTAATTTGTAAGTTTAATAAGAGTGGCAAGAGTTTTTTTTTTTTTTTTTTCCCCAGATTTGCTTTATTATTTTATTTTTTATTTAATGTCAAACGTATAGTCTATACCTGAATAATTACCAATGAACACTTTGAATGACAAATTGTGCTATGCAAATAAACTTGCCTTGCCTTGTATTATATTGTGATGGGTCCAAATAATTTGCCCCAAACAATTTCCCCTGTGGTGTAATTTTTCTTAAAATTTCTGATTTTATAGTATTTTCTTTTTATACATTTATTTTATTATTATTATTTTTTTACAAAGTATTTTTAGAATATACACAGTTTTTTTTCTGGTAAATTGTTTGGTGTTTCAAAGACAAATGAATTTCACCTTTATAACATATTTTCAGTAGTGCATGTTTACAATAAGTCAATTTTACTTTCACATTTTTGCTATCTTGCTTAAACCTACTGTCAGATCAATAATCCTGCCTTGCTAACACACAAAAAAAAACACTATAAAACCTACACATTTCTCACACTTGTATGTGTTCTATAGGCTCATGGAGTTTTGAAAGACATCAGCTCTGAATTATTACAACATCTGGACCAAGGAACCGCGTTTATCCAAGTCAGTACCAAGATGAACCCGAGAGGAGAGATCCGAGGACGGGTAAGAAAACATAAAACCTCCTCTAAAAATCAAAAAATTGAGTTGTTTTGACAGTTACTTCTGCTGCAAAATTGTCAACAAGCAACAACGTGGATAACAGCGCGGCGTTTATGTGTCTGTGTGCTCGCTCGCAAACAGGTGCTAGAAGCTAGAAGGCATTTTATAAGCCAGGAAGTAAAAGTTTTATTGGCAGGCATTAAAAAACACACACGTTCTGCAGGTGAAGTGGTTGATGGGCATTTGTGTCAGGTACTATAGCAGACTCCAGCTGTTTTAATGGTAAACAGAACCAACACGTAAACACACATCTGGCGGAGGGGCTTAGGGACCCTTCATTTAGATTATAACAATTAAATGTAATAAAATGTAACTTGAGGCAGAATGGAAAAGCAGCTACAAACTCAAAGTGGTAATAGTAATAATAGTACTTGTTGTATTTATAGTAATATTAGTAATTTAGTTATGTTCATTTGTAGTAGTTATAGTCCTGTTGTCTTTATTAGCATTGATAGTATTCGTGGTTGTATGGTAGTTGCAATACAGTAACAGTAATGGTAGTAGTATTAGTAGTAGTAGTAATAGTAATAGTAGTAGCTGGAATAGTAGTAGGAATAGTAGGAGTAGTACTAGTAGGAGTAGTAGGAATAGAAAGCTGGTAGTAGCACTAACAGATTAATTCATGGGGGAGTTATTCGTTGCTATTATCAAGAACAACATGAGTAATAGAAGTAGTAGTAATAGTAGTAGAGTAGTAGTAGTAGTAGTAGTAGTAGTAGTAGTAGTCGTTGTCGTCGTAGTCGTAGTAGTAGTAGACGACTAGTAGGAGCACTAACAGATTAATTCATTCATTGCTATTATCAACAACAACATGAGTAGTAGTAGTAGTAGTAGAGGTAGTAGTAGTAGTAGTAGTAGTAGTAGTAGTAGTAGTAGTAGTAGTAGAGGTAGTAGTAGTAGTAGTAGTAGTAGTAGTGGTAGTAGTGGTAGTAGGTTAGGAGTATAGTAGTAGTAGTAGTAGGAGTAGGAGTAGTAGTAGGATAGTATTAGTAGTAGTAGTAGTAGTAGTAGTAGTAGTAGTAGTAGTAGTAGTAGTAGTAGTAGTAGTAGTAGTAGTAGTAGTAGTGGTAGGAGTGGTAGTAGGTTAGTAGTATAGTAGTAGTAGGAGTAGGAGTAGTAGTAGGATAGTATTAGTAGTAGTAGTAGTAGTTAGTAGTAGTAGTAGTAGTAGTAGTAGTAGTAGTCGTAGTAGTAGTAGTAGTATAGTAGTAGTTAGTAGTAGTAGTAGTAGTAGTAGTCGTAGTAGTAGTAGTAGACGGCTAGTAGGAGCACTAATAGATTAATTCATTCATTGCTATTATCAACAACAACATGACTACTAGTAGTAGTAGTAGTAGTAGTAGTAGTAGTAGTAGTAGTAGGTTAGTAGTAGTATTAGTATTAGTAGTAGGTTAGTAGTAGTAGTAGTAGTAGTAGTAGTAGGTAGTAGTAGTAGTAGTAGTAGTAGTAGTAGTAGGTTAGTAGTAGTAGTAGTAGTAGTAGTAGTAGTAGTAGGTTAGTAGTAGTAGTAGTAGTAGTAGTAGTAGTAGTAGTAGTAGTAAGTTAGTAGTAGTAGTAGTAGTAGTAGTAGTAGTAGTAGTAGTAGTAGTAGTAGTAGTAGTAGTAGTAGTAGTAGTAGTAGTAGTAGTAGTAGTAGTAGTAGTAGTAGTAGTAGTAGTAGTAGTAGTAGTAGTAGTAGTAGTAGTAGTAGTAGTAGTAGTAGTAGTAGTAGTAGTAGTAGTAGCAGTAGGTTAGTAGTAGTAGTAGTAGTAGCATTCACAGCCTCTTTTTATTGTTAACATTTAGTGAGAGGAGAGACATTAATTAGAATGTTATGGTGGGAGTTCTAGTATCAACAACAACATGGGTGGTAGTAGTTGTAGTAGTAGTAGTAGTAGTAGTAGTAGTAGTAGTAACTGTGATGGTGACCCTACCAGAAAAAGTATTAGTACTCGTAGCAGCAATAAGGTAATTAATGTTTAGTAGCATTAAGGTAATTAATGTTGTGAATAGCTGGAGTAATAGATAGCAGTAGTGGTGATTTGTTGTAGTAGTACCAGTAGTAGTGGTAGTGGTAGCAGTAGTAGTAGCAGTAGTAGGTTAGTAGTAGGTTCACAGCCTCTTTTTATTGTTAAAATTTAGTGGGAGGAAAGACATTAATTAGAATGTTATGGAGGGAGTTCTAGTATCAACAACAACATGGGTGGTAGTACTAGTAGTAACAGAAGTAGTAGTAGCACCTGAAGTAGTAGTAGAAACTCTGCTACCAGAAAAAGTATTAGTACTTGTAGCAGTATTAAGGTAATTAATGCTCACAACAAATCACCGCTGTAGCAGGAGTAATAAAAGCAGTAGCGGTAATTTGTTGTAGTAGTATCAGGTATCAGTAGTAGTAGTAATAATAGTAGTAGTAGTAGTTGCAGTTGTTGTAGTAGTAGTAGTAGTAGTAGTAGTAATCAATGTTGTGAATAGCAGGAGTAATAGATAGCAGTAGCAGTGATTTGTTGTAGTTGTACCAGTAGTAATGATAGCAGTAGTAGTAGTAGTAGTAGTAGTAGTAGGAGTAGTTGAAGTAGTAGTAGTGACGGTGATGGTGGCACTACCAGAAAAAGTACTTGCAGCAGTATCAACGTCATTAATATTGTGAACGGTAGCAGTAATACATGCAGTAGTGGTGATTTATTGTAGTAGCAGTTTTAGACACAATAACATTAGTGGTAGTAAAAGTTGTAGTACTGAATATACCACATCGCCGTAGCAACCCTTTTCTTTTTGTCCCTTTAGGTCCACGTCCCCAACAGCTGTGAAGCGGGCCACAAGGGGGACACGGAGGAGACCGAGGCCGAGGAGGTTTTGTCCAGAGACCCCGAGGAGCTGAAGAAAGACCCGCACACGTGTTTTTTTGAGAACCAGCACCACGCTCACGGCTCGAGGTGGACCCCCAACTACGACAAATGCTTCACCTGCAGCTGCCAGAAGAAAACTGTCATCTGTGACCCGGTGATCTGCCCCGCTCTGACCTGCTCCAGGACCGTGCAGCCGGAGGGAAAGTGCTGTCCTGTGTGTGATGGTAAGGAAATATACACGGAACTACTATTTTATTCTTTTATTGAAATTAATTCAGTAAAAAACAAAAGGAAAATTGCAAACATTACTTCTACCATGCTTGAAAACGAGTGAGTGGATGATTTTTTGGGAATATTCCCTCAAAATCCAGGACTTTTTATAACTTTTTATATTCCTTATTTTCTATTTTCAGTATTACTATTATTATTATTATTAGTAGTAGTAGTAGTAGTAGTAATAGTAGTAGTTGCAGTTGTAGAAGTAGTATTAGCAGCAGTAGCAGTATAAGTACACACTATATTACCTGTGACAGTAGTAGTAGCAGCAGTAGTAGTAGTCGTAGTAGTAGTAGTTGTTGTTGTTGTAGTTGTAGTAGTTGTAGTTATTGTAGTAGTAGTAGTAGCAGTAGTAGTAACAGCAGCAGTAGAAGTAGTAGTAGTAGTAGTAGTAGTAGTTGTAGTAGTAATAACATCAGTAGTAGTAGTAGCAGCAGCAATAGCAGTAGTTGTTGTAGTAGCAGCAACAGCAGTAGCGGAGGTAGTAGTAGTAGTAGTAGTAGTAGTAGTAGTAGTAGTAGTAGCAGTAGTAGTAGTCGTAGTAGTAGGAGGAGGAGGAGAAGGAGGAGCAGCAGCAGTTTCTGTAGTAGTTGTTGTAGTAGCAGCAGTAGTAGTAGTAGTTGTTGTAGTAGCAGCAACAGCAGTAGCGGAGGTAGTAGAAGTAGTAGTAGCAGTAGGAGTAGTAGTAGTAGGAGGAGGAGGAGGAGGAGAAGGAGGAGCTGCAGCAGTTTCAGTAGTAGTTGTTGTAGTAGCAGCAGTAGTAGCATTAGCAGTAGTATTAGCAGCAGTAGTAGTACAAGTAGACACTACATTACCCGTGATAGTAGTAGTAGATTGTTGTTGTAGTTGTAGTGTAGTAGTAGTAGTAGTAGTAGTAGTAGTAGTAGTAGTAACAGCAGCAGTACCAGTAGTTGTTGTAGCAGTAGTGGTAGTAGCAGTAGTAGTATTAGTTGTAGTAGTATATGAAATAACTGTATGGTACTTATACTTATCTATTATATTTTGTCAAATTTTCACAGAACGTATTTCAAAACCAACTAAACCAAAACCTTTTATTTTCAGACAAGAAAGAGCCCAAAGACATGAAGGCCGCAGAGAGGGCCACCGAAAACCCTGAAGGTATGTGCCTCGAATTTTTCAATCTGACTTTTCTTCTTTTTTTTTTTTTTTTTTTTACACACTGCAAACCATTTTTCACGTTTTATATAATTCGTCATCACCTCACATTTTTCTTCTCTGTCTGCAGGCTGTTACTTTGAAGGAGACCAGAAAATGCACGCACCAGGAACCACATGGCACCCATTCGTACCTCCTTTTGGTTACATCAAATGTGCAGTCTGTACTTGCAAGGTAAATACTCCAGTGACCATGATAGATAATGTTCTATAATACAAACCAGGGTTTCTCAAACTGTGGTGCACGTACAGTTGGCGGTACATACATAGGTGCAGAGGTGAAAGGCGATAAAGTACAAAAGTAAAAGTACAGTACAAATTTTAAATATCTGTACTTGACTTAACTTAAATTTGACAGTGGATACTTTTACTCCACTATATTTGAGAACGTGTATCTGTACTTTCTACTCCACTACATTTTCGATCTGGACTGAAAAATAAAATGTACTTTTCTTTACGGTGTGAGAGAAAAGGAAGACTTTATTTCTTCTTTATTTTTTAGTACTTTTAATTAGAATTTCTTTCCCAACTTCTTTATCAAAATCACTACATTTTGTCCTTTAATGGATCTAAACATCTCTGCAAAATACTTTTACTTTTGACTACTGTATTTTAACTGTAATAGTAGTAGTAGAAAATTGTATACTTCAGTAGTTTCGTAGTAGTAGTAGTAGTAGTAGTAGTAGTAGTAGTAGTAGTAGTAGTAGTAGTAGTAGTAGTAGTAGTAGTAGTAGTAGTAGTAGTAGTAGTAGTAGTAGTAGTAGTAGTAGTAGTAGTAGTAGTAGTAGTAGTAGTAGTAGTAGTAGTAGTAGTAGCGGTAGTAGTAGTAGTAGTAGTAGTAGACCATGGTAGATAATATAACATAATATAAACCAGTTGGTACATACATAGGTGCAAAAGGTAATGAAGTACAAAAGTAAAAGTACCATACAATGTTTAGGTAGGTATCTGTACTTGATTTAAATACTTTTTACAGTGGATACTTTTACTTCACTATATTTGAGAAAATTGCAATATACTTCTTTTTCTATTGTTTTTCAGTGGAAGTAGTACTAGTAATAGTAGTAGTAAATTGTAATATACTACTGCTTCTACTGTACTGTACTAGTTGGAGTAGTAGGAGGAGTAGTAGGAGAAGTATTAGAAGTAGTAGTAATTGGAACATACATAGGTACAGCGTTGAAAGGTAATGAAGTACAAAAGTAAAAGTACAATACAAAGTTTAGGTATCTGTACTTGACTTAAATACATAGTAGTAATAGTCGTAGTAAATTGTTATATGCTACTGCCTCTAATGGTTATGTGACAAAGTAGTAGTAGCAGTAGACCATGGTAGACAATACTGTGGATATTTTTACTTCAATATATACAAGAATGTGAATCTGTACTTTCTACTCCACTACATTTTAGATCTGATTCAGAAGTAAAAAGTACTTTAGACTTTATCATTTTGGGTACTTTACTTAAATTTTCTAGTGGATACTTTTACTTCACTATATACCAGAAGGTGTATTGGTGCTTCCTACTACACCACATTTTAGATCTGGATTGAAAAGTAAAAAGTACTTTAGACTTGATCATTTTAGGTACTTTACTTTACTTAAATTTTACTGTGGATACTTTTACTTCACTATATACAAGAATGTGTATCTGTACTTTCTACTCCGCTACATTTTAGATCTGGATTAAAAAGTAAAAAGTACTTTAGACTTAATAATTTTAGGTACTTTACTTAACTTAAATTTTACAGTGAATACTTTTACTTCATTATATACAAGAATGTGTATCTGTACTTTCTACTCCACTACATTTTAGATTTGGATTAAAAAGTAAAAAGTACTTTAGACTTTTTTTTTCATCCTTTACTTGTTCCAAACATCTTTGCAAAATACTTTTACTTTTTACTCTTTAAGTATATTTTTAAACAGGTACTTTAAGTTTGATTTTCTCATGTGATACTTTTACTTTTTGCTCTATATCTGTACTTTTACTTGTACTTTTTTCATCATCCACTGCATAGGTATTTGCAATGGAGATCAATATTAAAGTGTAGACCTGTGATTAGTCCTGGTTTAGATCTGTATTAGTCCAGATGTAGTCCTGGTTTAGATCTGTTTTAGTCCAGATGTAGTCCTGGTTTAGATCTGTTTTAGTCCAGATGTAGTCCTGGTTTAGATCTGTTTTAGTCCAGATGTAGTCCTGGTTTAGATCTGTTTTAGTCCAGATGTAGTCCTGGTTTAGATCTGTTTTAGTCCAGATGTAGTCCTGGTTCAGTAGTCCTCGTGTAGTCCTCATTTGGTTGGAAGTTTTGTTTAGTTTTTAATTTAAATCAGAAAAGTACTTGGAAAAAACATGTAAGCAAACATCTGGTGGAGGAGCCTAGAGACATTCAATTTAGATTATAACAATTTAATGCAATAAAATTTAAACCTGATGCGAAACTTGGGAGAAGTAGTAATAGGAGATAGTAATGGTAGTGGTGTTACTTTCAAGTCACTTTTGTAGTAGTACTAAAAATGTAGTACTGTACTGTTTTCATTTCTTTATCTCTTACTTTATTATTGGTTAAAGTAGTCATATTATTTTCAATTGTATTGGTAGTAATAGTAGTAGTAGTAGTAGTAGTAGTAGTAGTTGTTGTTGTTGTTGTTGTATTTGTAGTTGTAGTTGTAGTGATAGTACATAGTTGTAGTAGTGTAGTAGTTGTAGAGTAGTAATAGTACATAGTTGTAGTAGTTGTAGTAGTAGTAATAATAGTACATAGTTGCAGTGATAGTAGTAGTAGTTGTTGTAGTAGTAGTAATAATACATAGTTGTAGTGGTACTTGTAGTAATAGCAGTAGTAATAGTTGTAGTATCTGTAGTAGTAATAATAGTACGTAGTTGTAATAGTAGTTGTAGTATTTGTAGTAGTTGTTGTACTAGTAATAATACATAGTGGCACTGCTAGTAGTAGTAGTTGTTGTAGTTGTAGTAATAGTACGTAGTTGTAGTAATTGTAGTAATAGCAGTAGTAGTAGTTGTAGTATCTGTAGTAGTAGTAGTAGTAGTAGTAGTAGTAGTAGTAGTAGTAGTAGTAGTAGTAGTAGTAGTAGTAGTAGTAGTGGTGGTGGTGGTAGTGGTAATGGTAATGGCAGCAGTAGTAGTTGTTGTAGTTGTAGTAATAGTACGTAGTTGTAGTAATTGTAGTAATAGCAGTAGTAGTAGTTGTAGTATCTGTAGTAGTAGTAGTAGTATTTGTTGTAGTAGTAGTAGTAGTAGTAGTAGTAGTAGTAGTAGTAGTAGTGATAGTACATAGTGATAGTTGTAGTTGTAATAGTAATAATAGTACATAGTGGTAGTGATAGTTGTAGTATTAGTAGTAGATGTAGTAGTAGTAATAGTACATACTGTAGTTGTAGTAGTGGTTGTAGTAGTTGTAGTTGTAGTGGTAGTTGTAGTTATAGTAAGTAGCCGAAGTAGTAGTAGAAGATAGTGTTTTGATAATAGTAGTAATAGTGTGATAGTGTAGTAGTAGTGGTAGTAGTAGAAGCAGCAGCAGCAGCAGTAGTACTAGTAGTAGCAATAGTACTATAGTAATGTTAGTAGTACTGTAGTCTTGTATCTGAAAGTGTATTTGAAGTCCTGTGTCTTGTGTCATGTGATCAGGGTTCCACAGGAGAGGTGCACTGTGAGAAGGTGACGTGTCCGGCTCTGACCTGCAGTCACCCCGTGCGCCGTAACCCGTCTGACTGCTGTAAGGAGTGCCCCGACGAGGAGAGGACCCCCCCCGGCCTCGAGCACACCGACATGATGCAGGCCGACGGACCGCGCCACTGCAAGTTCGGCAAAAACTACTACCAAAACAGCGACAACTGGCACCCATGGGTCCCTCTGGTGGGAGAGATGAAGTGCATCAACTGCTGGTGTGATGTAAGTATTGTAATAGTATCATGTAATAGTATCATTTAAGTAGTATTATACAATTATGCTATTATGCAGTTATAGTAGTAGTTGTTGTAGTGGTTGTTGTAGAAGTAGTAGTTGCAGTATTTTTGTTATAATGGTAGTAGTTGTACAAAATTGTAATATAGTATTCTTTCTATTGATTTCAGTCGAAATAGTCGAAGTAGTTGTAGTAGTAAACTGTAGTGGTTGCAATAGCAGTAGCAGTATTTTAATTGTAGTGGTAGTAGTTGTAGAAAATTGTAATATACTACTGTTTCTATTGGTTTCAGTGGAAGTAGTAGAAGTAGTAGTAGTAGCAGTAGTAGCAGTAGTAGTAGTAGTAGTAGTAGTAATTGTTGTGGTTGTAGTAGATTTAGCAGTAGGAGTATTTTAAATGTAAAGGTAGTAGTTGTAGAAAATTGTAATATACTGTTGTTTTTATTCAGTAATAACTTTTCAGCAAAAGTAGTAGAAGTAGTAGTAGCAGTAAACTGTAGTGGTTGTAGTACAAGTAGTAGTAGCAGTAGCATTATTTTAATTGTAATGTTAGTAGTTGTAGAACATTAATATACTAGAGTAGAAGATTTTCAGTAGAAGTAGTAGTAGTAGCAGTAGTAGTAAATTGTAGTGGTTGTAGTACAAGTAGCAGTAGCAGTATTTTAATTGTAAAGGTAGTGGTTGAAGAAAATTGTAATATACTACTGTTTCTATTGGTTTTCAGTAGAAGTAGTAGTGGTAATAGTAGTAGTAGTCGTAGATGGTGTTGGTTGGAGTAGAAGTAGTAGTAGCAGTATTTTATTTGTAATGTAGTTGTAGAAAATTGTAATATACTACTGTTTCTATTGGTTTTTTTAGTGGAAGTAGTAAAAGTAGTAGTAGTCGTAGTGGTAGTAGTGGTAATAGTAGTAGTAGTAGACTGTAGTGGTTGTAGTACAAGTAGTAGTAGCAGTATTTTAATTGTAATGTTAGTAGTTGTAGAAAATTGTAATATACTGCTGTTTCTATTGTTTTTTTTTAGTGGAAGTAGTAAAAGTAGTAGTAGTCGTAGTGGTAGTAGTGGTAATAGTAGTAGTAGTAGTAGACTGTAGTGGCTGTAGTACAAGTAGTAGTAGCAGTATTTTAATTGTAATGTTAGTAGTTGTAGAAAATTGTAATATACTACTGTTTCTACTTGTTTTCAGCAGTAGTAGCAGTAGTAGCAGCAGTAGTAAATTGTAGTATTTGTAGTAGAAATAACAGAAGTAGTAGCAGTATTTTATTTGTAATGGTAGTAGTACTAGACAATTGTAATATACAACTGTTTCTACTGGTTTTCAGTGAAAGTAGTAATAGTAGTAGTAGTAGTAGTAGTCAATTGTAGTGCTTGTAGTAGAAGTAGTAGCAGTATTTTAACTCTAATGGTAGTAGTAGTTGTAGTAGTAGTAAATTGTAATATACTACTGCTTCTGATGGGTTTGTGACGTAGTAGCAGTAGTAGTAGTAGTAGTAGTAGTAATAGTAATAGTAATAGTAATAGAAGAAGTAGTAAATTGTAGTGCTTGTAGTAGAAGTAGTAGTATTTTGCTTGTAATGGTAATAGTTGTAGAAAATTGTAAAATACTACGGTTTCTATTGGTTTTCAGTGAAAGTAGTAGTAGTAGTAGTAGTAGTAGTAGTAGTAGCAGCAGCAGCAGCAATAGTAGCAGTAGTAGTAGTAGTACATTGTAGTGGTTGTCATAGAAGTAGTGGTAGCAGTATTTTTGCTGTAATGGTAGCAGTAGCAGAAAATTGTAATATGTTTCTATTGGTTTGCAGTGGAAGTAGTAGTAGTAGTAGTAGTAGAAGTAGTAAATTGTCGTGCTTGTAGTAGAAGTAGTAGCAGTATTTTAACTCTAATGGTAGTAGTAGTTGTAGTAGTAGTAAATTGTAATATACTACTGCTTCTGATGGGTTTGTGACGTAGTAGCAGTAGTAGTACAAGTAGTAGTACTAGTAGAAGTAGTAGTAGTAGTAGTAGTAGTAGTAATAGTAATAGTAATAGTAATAGTAGAAGTAGTAAATTGTAGTGCTTGCAGTAGAAGTAGTAGTATTTTACTTGTAATGGTAATAGTTGTAGAAAATTGTAAAATACTACGGTTTCTATTGGTTTTCAGTGGAGGTAGTAGTAGTAGTAGTAGTAGTAGTAGTAGTAGTAGTAGTAGTAGTAGTAGTAGTAGTAATTGTAGTGGTTGTCGTAGAAGTAGTGGTAGCAGTATTTTTGTTGTAATGGTAGTAGTAGCAGAAAATTGTAATACTGTTTCTATTGGTTTGCAGTGGAGTAGTAGTAGTAGTAGTAGTAGTAGAAGTAGTAAATTGTAGTGCTGTAGTAGAAGTAGTAGCAGTATTTTAACTCTAATGGTAGTAGTAGTTGTAGTAGTAGTAAAATTGTAATATACTACTGCTTCTGATGGGTTTTGTAGTAGCAGTAGTAGTACTAGTAGTAGTCTAGTAGTAGTAGTAGTAGTAGTAGTAGTAGTAGTAGTAGTAGTAGTAGTAGTAGTAGTAGTAGTAGTAGTAGTAGTAGTAGTAGTGTAGTAAATTGTAGTGCTTGTAGTAGAAGTAGTAGCAGTATTTTAACTCTAATGGTAGTAGTAGTTGTAGTAGTAGTAAATTGTAATATACTACTGTTTCTGATTGGTTTGTGACGTAGTAGCAGTTGTAGTAGTAGTAGTGGTAGCAGCAGTAGTAGTACTAGTAGTTGTAGTAGTAGTAGTTGGTAACACAGCACTACTGGTTCTTTTGGTTTTGGTTTCAGGTGACAATGCATGACCACGAGCATCCCAACAACACCCCGTGACATCTTTTTGTAAATTTGTAAATTCCCCTTTCTGACCAGATTTAAACAAGATTTTGTTCTGGTTTGAGTTTATTTCAAACATTTTGAACACGGACAACTGTTTTACATCATATTTCGCAATTTGGGGAAAAACCTACCCACTTCTGTGTCCATTTGTTTATCGGTGGTCACAGGATTTTTGGTTGCGGTGATGTAACTTTACCACAACACGAAATATTTGCGTAGCTCAGCACTTTTGGTATCATAATGAATCGCAAGTGTTAGCAATCTGTCTATAGGCCGTATAAGACTCTAGCATTTGTTTTTGTTCTATTATTGTTCTATTATTTACATTTTTTTTTCTTTTTTTTTTTGCAGCATGGTGTCACAAAATGCCAGAGAAAGCAATGTCCGATCTTGACCTGCACTAACATCACCCGAAAAGAGGGCGCTTGTTGTCCCGAATGCACTGGTACGTAATCAGTACTTCAAACTACTTCTACCTAAATAGTAGAATCCGTGTATCATTTGTTCATTTGTTTTTTAATATAAAACCAAAAATAAGAAAATGAAAAAACAACTATTTTCTTCATTATTTGTCTCCAAAACCAAAATGAAAAAATGGATAACGATTAGTTTTTTTCAGTTTTCGATTTTGTGTTTAAATGAAAAATGGAAAAAACGTAAAATGGAAAAAGCTTAAACAGTGATGCTGGACTTTTGCGCTGCATACGGACTTAACCAGGACTAAACCAGGTCCGGGACCAGACAAGGGCTGAGACCAGGATCAGACTAGAACTGAGACCAGGATTGAGACTGGAAACAGGACCAGGACTTAGACCGGGACTGAGACCGGGACCAGACTGGGACTGAGACCAGGACTGAGACCGGGATCACACTAGAACTGAGACCAGGATTGAGACCGGGACCAGACTGGGATTGAGACCGGGACCAGACCAGGGCTGAGGCCAGGACCAGACCAGGACCAGACCAGGACCAGACCTTGATTGAAACCGGGACCAGACCATCACTGAGACCAGGACTGAGACCAGGACTGAGACCAGGACTGAGACTGGGACCAGACCATGACTGAAAACGGTTTAGTCCTGGTTTAGTCCTATTTTAGTCCTGATTCAGTCCTGGTCCAGTCCGTATGCGGCGCAAAAGTCCGGCATCGGAATCATGGAAATCACGGAAACAGGAAACGGCCATTTTCCGTTTTTTCCATTCTTCATTTAAACACAAAATCGAAAACTGAAGGAAACTGTTGATTTTTCGTTTTCTTATGTTTGGTTTTATATTGAAGAACAAATGAACGAACGATACACAGATTTAGTATATTAAAATGTATTTCCAGATTTGACTCAATTTCCTATTTTTTTGTTTTATCTCATTTTTAGATTCCATAGAAGATGACGAAATCGTAATGAAAACTCCAGACAAGCGACGGAACTGGAGACACTGACCACTGAGGATGCTACTTAGAAATCCCAAAAAGGACTAAATTATAGACTTTATTTTACAAGGAGATCTAACTCGGAGATGCACCGCGGATCTTAACTTTTAACTCCTTCCTTCCACGTATTGCCCACCCGGTAGCAGCTGCAGGATTGTACGGAAAAAAAAAAAAAAGCCGAGATTTTGGGACTGTCCAGAGACTTGTGTAGCGGAACAGACGACGCTACGAACGGGACCAAATGTGATGGTGTGCGTGTTTAAGTGTCGCTAACTCCGCTTGCTTTTGGTTCTTGGTCCGGAATTGTTGACGGAGCTTCGCGTTGAAGTGCAGCAACGGCATAAAAGCAACTTGTGAAGATAGTGTAGTGTGAATGTGTGTGCGTACGCTTCAAGTACTAGCAGTATTGTACAGCTCAGTAAACTCAAATAATGTTGTAAAGTTGGAAATTTTGTAAGTAAAACGTGTATTCATAGACCAGTGTCAAGGCAGAGATTCTAAAATGTAAAAAAAAAAAAATGTCTCCGGCTGCTTCTCTGCATCAATTGTCCCTATTTTGTTGCCTCTTGTCTGTAATGAATTAAGTAATATTTTAATGAATTTCTATTGTTGTTAAGAATATGGAGCTGATTTGTATTTTGTATTTATTGAACGCTGTGGAGACAAAATTAAAAACTGTAAAAACTGGAAACTCTATAATAATTTTTCATTTATTTATTTAGTGTTTTATAAATATTTTACATAAGTTATAGCAGTAATGGTAGAAGTAGAAGTAGTAGTAGCAGTATTTTAATAGTAGAACATTGTAATATACTTGGTTTTCAGTGGAAGTAGTAGCAGTAGTAGTAGCAGTAGTAGTAGTAGGAGTAGTAGTAGTACTACTAGTAGTAGCAGTAGAACATTGTATATACAGTAGTAGTACAGTAGTAGTAGTAGGAGTAGTAGTAGTACTACTAGTAGTAGCAGTAGAACATTGTAATATACTTGGTTTTCAGTGGAAGTAGTAGTAATAGTAGTTGTAGTGGTGGTGGTGGTGGTAGTAGTAGTAGCAGTAAATTGTGGTAGTAGTAGAAGTAGTAGTAGCAGTGTTTTAATTGTAATGATAGTAGTAGGACATTGTAATATACTTGTTTTTTAGTTGAAGCAGCAGCAGTAGTAGTAGTAGTAGTAGTAGTAGTAGTAAGTAGTAAATTCTAGTGGTAGTAGTAGAGGTAGAAGTAGCAGTATTTCAATTGTAATGGTAGTAATAGAACACTTTAATATACTTGGTTTTCAGTGAAAGTAGTGGTAGTAGTAGTAGTTGTTGTTGTTGTAGATGTAGTAGTAGTAGTGGTAGTTGTTGTTGTAGTTGTAGTAGTAGTAGTGGTAGTAGCAGAAATGGTAGTAGTAGTGGTGGTAGTAGTAGTAGTCAATTCTAGGGGTAGTAGAAGTACCAGTATTTTATTTGTAATGGTAGTAGTAGAACATTGTAATATATTTGTTTTTTTAAGTTGAAGTAGTAGTAGTAGTAGTGGTAGTAGTAGTAAAAGTTGTAGCAGTAGTAAATTCTAGTAGTAGTAGTAGTAGTAGCAGTATTTTAGTTGTATGGTAGTACTAGTAAAGTAATATACTACTGGTTCTATTGGTTGTTAGTGGAAGCAGTAGTATTAGTAGTAGTAATAGTAGTGTAGTAGTACTAATACGAAACAGTATTACATTAAAAAAAAGAAAAGAAAAAAGTTTAAAATTTGGTTAGTTATCAATCTGGAATACAAAAATAAATTCAGACGTCATTTTAATTACACGAGTACTTCTCTTAGTCGACAGTAGCGTACTGGGTTAAGCATTTGCCTTAGAACCACAGAGTTGTGGGGTCAAAATGTGGCCAAGTTCATAAACATTGTCAGTATCTGAGGTAAAGCAGTACACTCCCTGCACACCACCTGCTTGTAGTAGTCACCCTATGTACCTACATATATATATATATATATATATATATATATATATATATATATATATATATATATATATATATATATATATATATATATATATATATATATATATACCTACACAGGGCGACTACCTTTTCTACTCCCTGAAGAGGAAGCACCTCTCCGGGTAAGTCCCATAGTCCTTTGTCAGGTCACAGGTGTACAAGGACCTTTACAAGTATCTAAAGCAGCTGTTTACTAAGGGCCTTCTAAACTAAAGTCTTGGAAATAAAACACTGAAATGGAACAAATAGAACAAAAATAGAATAAAAAATAGAATAAAATACAAAAACACACAGAAAAAACAATGTAACAATATCCATAATCTCATGGTACGATATTATCACGATATACATCTCACTGTACGATATTTATTACGATATTTTGAAGAGGCTGATATAATTGTAGATAGAACACTTTTTTGCTTTTAAAATACCTTGACAAGATTTTGGTGTGAATTATTTCAGTCATAATCTCAAGAATTCAAGTAAAAAACATATCTCTTCATGTTGTCTGCACTGAAATGAATCATGGGATATGTAGTTCCTGATGTTTATAAGATGTTGCTATTATAAAACCATTTATTTAACAAAGGAACTTGTGATTCGATACACTGTGACAGCCCACAATATTACTGTGAGACTTTTGACGATACAATATTACGATATTTTGGTTATTGTTAAATCCCTAGAAAAAAGAGCAAGATACAAAAGCACACTGAAATAAAAGCAAAACAAAAATAAATAAATAAATACATTTAAAAAAATAGATCAAAATACAAAAGCACATTCCAATAGAAACACAACAAAAACACAAAATGGAACAAAATACAAAAACATACTGAAATAAAACCAAAACAAAAATAAAAAGTAGAACAAAATACAAAAACACACTGAAAAAAAAAAAAAAAACAGATAAAAATACAAAAACACTAAAATAAAAACAAAAAAATAGATCAAAATACAAAAACACACTGAAATAAAAACAAAAACACAAAATAGAACAGAATGCGAAAACACACTGAAATAAAAACAAAACAAAAAATTGAACAAAAGCAGTCCACATGGTCCGGCCCAGATAAGAATGTGAATGTACTGAACTGAAATTAGCAAAGTAAGTTGTTGAGTTTTATATTGAAAATGAACAAATGTGCAAAATTAAATAATTGAATGAGTTTAAATGAGACAAAAGCCCTCATTAAACTTCAAAAACATGCATTCTTACAGTGCCTGGATTCACCTCCCACAAGATCTGACCTGTAACTTGGTCAACTGCATGTCTCCTTGAATATCGGTACGTTTAATGCTATACTGTGGAATATTCCAGGCAAAACAATAACATTTCCATGTATGGTATGGTGCACAGACCTTTCAGACACCTGTGTAAGTGAATTAAAAACACAAAATAGAACAAAATACAAAAACACACTGAAATAAAAACAAAACAAAAAATAGATAAAAATACAAAAATACAGAAATAAAAACAAAAAATTTATCAAAATACAAAAACACACTGAAATAAAAACACAACAAAAAACACAAAATAGAACAAAATACAAAAACACACTGAAATAAAAACACAACAAAAACACAAAATAGATCAAAATATAACAGCACATTGAAATAAAAACACAGCAAAAATACAAAATACAACAAAATACAAAAACACACCGAAATAAAAATGAACTTAGAGCAGTTCTTCCCTCCACATGGTAAGAAAGTGGATGTATTTTGATGAAATTGGCAAAGTAACCTATTGAATTGAATATTGAAAATGAACAAATGTGCAAAATTAAACAATTGAATGAGTTTAAATGAGACAAAAGCCCACATGGAACTTCAAAAACATGCATTCTTACAGTGTCTGGATTCACCTCCCCCAAGATCTGACCTGTAACTTGGCCAACTGCATGTCTCCTTGCATACAGGTAAGTTTAATGCTATACTGTGGAACATTCCGGGCAAAACAATAACATCTCCATGCAGTTCCAACACAGTTTAAATCAGTGAAACATGTGGTATGGTGCGCAGACCTTTCAGACACCTGTGTAAGTGAATTAAAATCGTTTAGAAACAGTCTGTGGTGGAGAGCAATTATCCATTTGAACAGACTGATCCTCTCCCGGTTTATTTTTCTTTCTCTCTTCATTTACATATTTAGATCCGGGACAAACAACTTTCTTTTCAAGTATCTCTCTCGCCACATGTTCGGTCGTCTTCACGTAAACACGGGCACACATCAGCGAACACAGTCACAAACATAAGCTGAATGGGACGCACGTGGGGCCTGAGCGCTGCTAAAGAAATGTGCGTATACAATCGTGCCCTCTGCTGGTCGTACAGTGTCATTACAGAAGAAAAGAGCCTGCATTATTTCAATAGCAGAAAACAGAAAATGATTAATAAAAAAATGCCAATTAAACATTTCAGTTATTAAAAATATAATATACACGTAATGTATTTTTATTATTATTTTAAATGTCTATTAATATTGGTCATGTTTAATGGTAATGAGATTATCTTCCATGCACACCAAAATCTTATCTTAAATGATCTGATTTTCTGACAGTTTTAGTGGCAGGGGAATGTTTCTGGTCTACACAGTGGTGGAAGAAGTACTACATTTTGTTAAGTAAAAGTACAGATACCAGAGCAAAAAACAAACAAACAAACAAACAAACAAAACTCAAGTAAAAGCAAGTATCACATTAATAAATATTTAGGGTGCACTATGTAACTTTTTGGTTGGGGGTCTTTCACCTGCTTGTTTCTATGGAGATGTCATTGCTCTGCCTGGAATGTTCCACAGTATAACATTAAACAGCTCTACCTTTTTACATTTTCTAAATTTATTCAATTACAGGTGGTTTTATGTCAAAAATACTTACAAAAACGAGCATTCTGACTGTGAGTGGTGTGGCTGTCCCTGCACCAGAAAAGTTACACAATGCACCTTTAAAGTACCTGTTTAAAACTGTACTTATAAAGTAAAAATTAAAAGTATTTCAGGCAGATTTAATATAGCTCCAAATATAGTAGTAGTAGTTTATTTTTCTTACATGTTACATGTTTACTATGACCAAAGGGTTTAGTGAAAAATCACTAATGAATACATAACCCTATAGTGATTTTGATAAAGCTTTGTGCTGAGTTTTGTTTTGTTGTTTTCTATTACACTATTAAATTGATATATATTTTTTCCCAATCTGTTTTAATTTGTATATTTTGGTTTGCCCAGACAACCAGTGTGGTAAAAATAAACCCTCAGCCTTTTCTTAAAGTCTCAAACAATAATACTTTTTTCTTTTCAGTCCAGTTCAAAAATGTTGTTGGAATAGAAAGTACAGGTACCTGCTTTCGAATGTAGTAAAGTAAAAATAAAAACTATCCACCTTAAAGTAAAATACAGATACTTAAGATGTATACTTAAAGGTGCATTGTGTAACTTTTCTGGTGGAGACTCTGTCAAATGCTTTTCCCTATGGAGACAATATCGTTTGGCTGGAATGTTTCACAGTATGGCATTAAACCTTTCTACCTTCATGGAAACCAAACCAGACTAAGTTAGGGGTCAGATCTATGGAGTGGCAGCCAGGCTCACAGTCAGAATGCCTGTTTTTCTAGGTATTTTTGAGCTATAAAACCACCTGTAATTGAATAAATGTGGGTTGGATCTGTTTAATGTCAAACTGCGGAACATTTTAAGCAGA